GCCTTACCCACCAACAGACCTTCCCAGGATAGTCCTGTCTGCTTTCCCCACAGCACTCAAAGTCACAGCACTCCTAGATGAAGCTCCAACCCTAGGACAGTCTTTTCCCCCAGGCATCCCTTAAATACTTTAGCTTTCAGCCTTGCACATGCAATGCTACCTCACATCTGAGATTGCCTCCTTGGGATTTAAGCAGCCAATACCCTCTAGTAAGTAGGTACTAAAATAGGTTGTGGAATAAATTGCTCTCATTTAACATTCACTCCGAAAAATACGGCTGCATTTATTAGGCAGCATATTGTTTTATATACTGTTTTGTTATAATAAGTCATGTTTAAAATGTCATGACATTTAAATCAACAGCAGTAAGAGGGAAATGCTGAAAAAGAGCAAGAGGATCAAAAAAGGGTTTGAAAAATCCTGGTGAAAATTATGGGCCAAACACCCTCATTATAGTGAAAATAAAATCACAAGGGAGCTTAAAACTCATGTATGATAAACCTGCTCTGCCTCTCCTGTGACTTGTTCTCCACGTTAGGTCTCTGTGGTTGTCTCCAGATGGGGTGGCCAAGGAGTGGTGCCACCAGCAGCTGAGTTGGTGCTGGATGCAGCAAAGCCCTCCTGGTGCTCTGAATCCTCTTGCAGGTTTAGCCTTTCTCTGTGCTGCCCTTTGCCACTGAGTCACGGCAAACATTCTAGAAAACTCTACTGAATACATTCTTGGAGCTTGTTAATGCCATTTGTCTCAGTGAGGAGCTTTATTTCAATGCCTGAGCTAAGTTATATGAATGAACTTTACATATAATATAAAAGCCTACTTTAACATGGCTTCATAGCCTTTGAGGAGACACACAGACTACCCATCACTGATGATCTACATGCATAATAGCTCTTCTTCACCAGAAAGACTTCTAATGTTAAAAAGAAAGTAGAACAAATGAGAGGAGCTACTCTGTTCCTGCAGATTCAGTGCTCATCTTTTATTCCAGGTCTGCACCCACATTCCAGCATCCCTCCTGCTGCCTCCCTGCTCTCCCACCCATCACCAACAGACAGCAACAACAACAACTGCAGTGACAAAACAGACAGAGATGCAACGAAACATTAAACCCAATTCCAATACCTGAGCTGTACCATGAATATCTCTCACTGAGGCACAGGGTAGAAAAGACAACAAAATGACCTTTCCTGGCATCTTAAGGGATATGTAACCTTGTAATTGGTATAGGCACAATGAAGACACACAAGAGGGAGACCAAGACTATTGAAAGGAATTGTGTATGTTTTTTGAAATTAGTATCTCAGTGTTCCCATTATAACTTGCCAATATGAATGACATTTACTCTTACTCTGAGAAATGAAAGAAACTCTAACAGACAGACTGCATTAAGAATCTATTGATATTCCACTGACCTAGTGGCAGAAGAACCAGACAAGCTTTGTCAAGGGCAAATGCCCCAGAGTCTGCAAATTCATCTCTTAAAGTAACAGTATAGGGAAAAAAATATCTTCAAAATCTGGAATATTTATAAAACCCAGTGGAGCCTTGCACTTCTTGATGTTATAACAGCAGTGGATGGCACTAGAGCCAGGTATGGGAGAAGAACTAGAGATCTCCTATGGTCAATCACCTCTTCCAGCTTTTTCAGGCAGTTAATATTGCCCTAAAACTTATGTGGGAAGCTCCCTTAAGGGACAACACATGGGGTTTTGCCCAATTTTTTTTTTTTTTTCTTACTGTACAAACATCACAAATGTATGTTATCCATATCAGAATACAGATTCTGTTTGGAATGGATGGATGCAGGAGGTGTAAGCTGTGCAAGAGGCCCCTGCTGCATTGCCTTCCCAGTATTAGTGGAAAGACTCAGAAAAGAGGAAAGGAGGAAAAGTAAGGAACAGTTTGGTATTGTTCAAGCAGGATCCTTCATCCCTCAGATGAACCTCCTACCTCATACACTAAGTGATAGAATCATCTACTGGTTTGAGTTGGAAGGGACCTTAAGGATAATCTAGTTCCAACTCCCCTGCATGGGCAGGGACACCTCTCACTAGACCACACTGCTCAGGGCCCCATCCAGTCTGGTCTTGAACATTCCCAGGGGTGGGCAGCCACAATCTCCCTGGGCAACCTGTTCCAGTGTCTCACCAGCCTAAAGAATTCCCTTCTAAAAATCAAATGAGAACAAAAAAGTCACAAAGGGCCCAATGCAGGAGCCCCTATTTAACTCATGAAACTCAAACTGGGATCATAGTGGCTTTCTTCAGGGGGTGGGGGAGCACAGGATGCCTTCACTTTGAGGAGGAAAAATCATCTTGCTCCTCTTCCAAGCTGCAAGTGTTGATCACCTGTTCAAATCCTTTTTTTCTGGGGAATAAGACCACTGTTGTATCCACATAATGCCCACGCTAGAGAACAGGGAATGCATAATAGCCTGGGAATATAATATTCTACAATTAATTTCAGTGAAGGGACTGTGAATTTGGGGAGAATTAATTTTAGCTGGATACATGTTGCAGTTGATTAAGGCTGATAGCTTCTACTAGTAGGAAGGTGTTTTTGATGAAAATACATTGAAAATCTTATTAAACTGCCTAGAAAAAACCAGTTGCCACTACCCATACTACAATCTCCCAGACATCCTCCTGTTTCTACATAGGAAACATGAATTGATAGCATTTGCATAACAATTATTATTCAATATGTAGACTTCTGTATCATTGCTTTTGGACAGCATTAATATTCAAACCTTTGAGCACAAGTGTTTTAGAAACATTCATCTGGAAAAGTCACAGGCAATTTTTTTTGTTTGCAATTCTTTTGCAAGTGCTGTGCCTGTGATGACATCCTGGCAGCAGGTCACCACCTCCTCTCAGCATCACTCACAGAACATGCTTCAGAGCTACAGGAAATCCCACATTGCACGGACAGGGTGATCAGACTAACATGGGGGGATGGAAGGTAGGAAGGGTTCAAAGATGGGAAAAGCAACCCTAAGATTCCCAGTTTTTAGAGACAAAACCTCATTTTGTCTGCTTTCAGTTAAATCAGCTTGTTTGTGCCTTCACAAAGAATGAGAAATTAAAGCAATTTCCATTAGATATGAGTAAAACACATGGCTCAGCTGAGAAGTTGTTTTTCACTCCAGAAGGTCAAATACTTGTGAATTAAATGCTGTGAGAATGGTTCTAGCATGGACATCCTTCATCTCAATTTGCCAGAGTAGGAATTTGCAGGTTTCCCACTCATTCTTCAGGAGGGATGTGACTGGGGAAAAGGCTGTACAGTCACACATTTTGTGGAGGAACTGAATCAGGGCATTCAGGAACCAGAGGGTGGTCAAGGACTGGACCAGCTCCCCAGGGAAGTGGTCACAGCACCAAGCCTGCCTGAGCTCAAGAAGCTTTTGGATGATGCTCTCAGGCATCTCACAGTGAGATTCTTGGGCTGCCTTGCACAGCAGTGGGAATTGGACTCCATGATCCTGTTGGGTCCCTTCCAACTCAGCATATTCTCTGATTCTGTATAATTGTCTTCATTTAAACACAATCTGAAGTCAGAGCAGAGTACCTTGCAAAAAAGAACTTCTTATACAGAAGAAGTTCTACTGCTACATTTTCCTCCCCTTTCTTTAGGTCTTTTTTTTTTAAAAAAAACCAAACAAAACCACAAGACAAACAGCTCCCCTTCAAGCAAAATTCACAAACAATATCATGTTCTCAGTCTGTTTCCAGGGCTTACCCTGTGCACGTACTGAGGTGTAAAAGTGCACAAGCACCTTCATTCATTCTGACCCCTAAGCATTATTACATTACATTTAATTGCAGAAGACACTGTCTTCACAGCTTTATTTCTCATATGACATCTTGTGAATTGCTTTTAAGAAAAGCCATTTACACAGCATCTATATATATGTAAACTAGTACCCTGATGTCACATTCATGTTTGCACATACCCTTCTACTCATGTCAGGCAATCCTAACACAAAAAGCAAGTGGCCCTTCATATATTCCCTATTAGGAAACAGTGGCAGGAATTTTCATAAAGCAAAAGTTTGACTGATACGGTGCAAAATCTGTTCCACTGGAAAACTGGCACTTTGCCCATCATCTTCCACAAAGTTCCCTATCTTTGTCAGTGCTCATCTACTTGACTTCTTAATTGTCTGTGTTCACTGGCTGCATCAAATGGAGTCTTCTTTTGCTTTTCCTCACTGTGTATTACATCTTTTAATCGGTATATATAATTACTTACTACAATCTGCCATGCCAGATTTTCTAAGCATTAGTCTAATTAACTTAAGCTTGATAATTACATTTCAGATATCATAACAGTACACACAGAACTTGCAGATTATGCTGCTGGCTTAGCTGTTTCTGATAACATTTTTCTCTTATTCTTACTTTTCCCTCTTGCTTTCTCCCTTTTTGTACAGGGTGGGAGCACAGGAAGAAAGAGATACTGATCTTCTGTTCCAATGACTGGAAGCTTCTCTAGAAGCAAAAGCAGGTTGTTTCCAACAACAAGTCATCAAGTTAGTCAGCACAAACAAGAATGGATCCAAAACACAAGGATTTCCCTTTTTATAAGAATAAAAGATAAATGGGACTGAAGAAAGAAACTTGAGCTTCCAACAGCAGAATTCATAGAGGAGTCAGGCACAAACCTACAGCACTTACTGGCCAGATATGAAAGTACTCAGACCACAGGTCTCCAGACGGAGCTATTCTAATGAAACTCCCGTTGGCGACAGCGCGTCGCCCGGGAGGCAATAAATAAGTGATAACAGCCTGGCACACATACCTTCTCAGCACAGAAAGATCATCCCTCACAAAGTGATGCAGGCCACCTGGGTAAATGAAATATGCAAGCCTGAGACCCCAAGTAAGAGTAAATAGATGCAGAAGACACTTATGTCACAGCAATAAAGGGAAGCTAAAGAAAGCTGTAACAGGCTATAGACTTTCATTTGGCTTTCTGATGTAAAGCAACATTTCACTTCTTTCCAACTCACTTTGATGTTCTGATTTTATGACAGAGAATGTATCCTGCATTGTGTGGTGTGCCTTTCTCCTGGACAAGGGCCAGAGGAATTGTGTCCCACCACACAGAATAGGCTCTGCCCCGTGGGAGATGGGGCAGAACCAGAAGGGTCAGACCTCCTTTCCCTGCTCCCAAGGGCTGTGGTCCTGTCATGCTAACTAGGGTCCAACCAGCAACACTCAGGTCTCAAAGGCACACAGACCACACTTTGGGTATTTGGGCTGCAAGCCCACTGCTGGTACAGCCATGCAAATAGTCCATTTGTTTGAATTTTGGGTGCAGTGGTACACAAGTGTTGTCAAGCCCACTCAGAAACACACCAAAGACTTTACTCCAAAGTTATTGGTAAGGATTTAAGGAGCCACAAAACACTAAAAGACTGCTCAACTGCTCCTATTTTTAACATGAACTTTATAGATCCACAGACATGGACAGGATCAGGCAGTTCCTCTTGCTGGTTTCCCTCACTCAAGCCCTTATTTTCAGGTGACTGAAGGGCTGTCACCCTTGACAGAAAAGATTATCTGCAGTCAAGGAAGTAATCAGGGTGGCCAGCACATAAATAAGCATAACATAAATTTGAATATTAGTAATTAGCATTTGATTCAATCAGACTAAAAGCATTAGACCACTGTAGCAGCAATTCAGCTATTTAACAGTCCAATTATCTTTAATGAATTAACCTCAAAGTATGGCTGACATGCAACATCCTAAGAATCCCTTTGCTCACCTCCACACCACTTACAACTAATTCCACTTCATAAGCCTACCTCAATTAACATTTCTCTGTATTTCACACATGAGTAACTGCAGCTCTGAAATACACACTCCTTTCCCAAATTTAATAGCCAAGATACCTTTTTTTTTTTATTTTATTCTACAAATGAAGGAAAATAATTTCCTGCTACTATCTCAAACCAATTAAAAATATTTTTATATTGGCTTTGCATCTCTTAGATAAATGGGTGAACCAAAGAGGTACTACATTTGTCATAGAATAATTACTTGGATATGATCTGCTGTGCAGCACTCCAAAGACAGAGGAACTCACAACTAGCAGATTTTAAATTTGCTTTACACTTTCCACCAGTAGAATTTTTAAATAACTTTTTTTTTTTTCTAGAATGTTTTGTATTAGGAAGGAAACACTCAATGGGAGCAATTCTAAACTATGTGAATTTAAAAAAAACTTGGAAAAAGTGTAAATTTATTGATAGGGCAGGAAGGAAGGAAGGGAGGAAGGGAGAACACATCACCCTGTTGCAACTACACTTCCACAAATAGCTAACGTAAAACCAAGACCACTTGTATAATAATACACCTTGTGCATTATGTAGCATGATTAGAATGACAGATGCCTAACTGCATGACTCAGGGTTATCAAATGCCTCTGAGATATGTTGAGACTGGTCAATGGCTTCCTAACTGCATAGGGCAACTGCTGGACCTCGCAACTCTTTCCTTTAGCTTTCCTCTTTTCTCAGTGAATTGTATAAAAAGACATTTAATATGTCATTTAATATCAGTCCTGCTTTAATAGGGAAATGGTGGGAAGCTCTTGCTTGCACTGTGGATGTGGTAAAAGGAGCAGCATCCTCGAACAGATTATGAATCTGATGTTATTTTCCCTTTCACTGCATGTTTGCAGCATTATTTTAGCAGTAAGAAAAATGAACACACATGCAGATAACACAGCAATATGGCATAGCTGGTTTTCTTCTTCCAAGCATCCAATTTAAGTTTGTCATCAAATACCACACAGTACAAATCCCTGTGTTCTATTCCTGATTTTAACCTCAGTTTAGAGCTCAGCATTTTGTGCTGTGCAAATCATCTGGAGCTGTCTGCAGAGGAGAGCATTACCAGCAGAGAGACATGTGGGTACAGCACAAGTCCTTCTCATATCAGAACTGATGAATTTTCTTCTCCACCTGAAGCACCCACGTGATGCCACAGAGCTTCACTGTCATTTCTTCTCTGAGCTACTGAGTAATATCATAACAAAGTTACACCACTAGGGACACAGACATAATATAACCTGCCCATAGAGATATATAAATAGAGTTTATTTTGTACAGTAATTTTTTATATCAAATATGGATATGCATGGCCTATTTGGTCACATGAGCAAATCTGTGCCCTGAAAGACAATCTTCTCATTAAATGAAGCTGCAAACCCCAGATTTTATCTCAAGTGCTCTAACTTTGCTGGCAGAGCAGCCAGAATGCTATGGAGCATAAGCCTTTCACTATTGCCACTCAAACTGAGGGCACCCCATAGCAAATTCTGAAAGCTTAAATAATCAGCTAATAAGAGGAGAATGTACATTATCAATAACTGCCTCATTTGGCTAACATTATAAACTAACACTTCTAGACAGAATAAGATTTGGTTTTGTACTCCAGCCTAATACTTTACTCTCAGAGAATAATGACTATTGTAACATTTTACCCTTGAGTTTTCACCTGCCTTTGGTTCTTACAGTGCACCCCATTTTGGAAAGTTGAAATAGTAGTTACAAATAAACTCTTTGCTATCAGTCTTTTTCCACTACTTCCATTTATAACCAATCCCACACTGCATTTATACATGAATCTGTTCTGAATTTGTTTCAAGCCTGATTTTACTCAAGCTCTTTGTCAAATGTCACTGGGCTCCTGGAATAGCTCTGTTCTACCCAGCCAAGTAAGAAGGAAGAAATTCTGTACAACTGGAGGCTACTTTTATCCCTGGGCAAATGTCCAGGGCCAAACATTTGTGTGGTGCTCCACCTGAGCTACTGCACTCTCCAGAACTCTCTGCACCTTCTCAGGACTTTGGATTCCAGGGTCATCCTGCTTCCATGGAAGTTCTGCAGGGCCTCATCAGCTGCCTTGCAGCCAGATGGAGCCTGCAGGGTAGCAGTTCCCTGCCTCCAAGCACAGCTTACTGGCACTGCTCTCTGACCTTAGGCAGTTTTCTTTTGATTTTTTTCATTATCATTTATTTTTTTAAAGTTTGCTTTCAATGACAGGGCCAAGCATCTGTAGACATTTCAGGAGACAGCCTTTAGAACATTAGGAAAGCTATATACACTGTGTTAGGGATTATTTCTGTGATCCATGCCAAGTTGAAAATTTCCATCCTTCCAACTCATCTCTGGGCTTTTAGGGCATCAGTAAAAATTTGAGTAAATTTTTTGGGAAAAAAAAATACTCTCCATTCACAACTACAAAGCTCCCTGAACACTAATATTGTGAAACTTCTTGAGTTCATTCTTTAATAAAGGGAAGACTGAGAATAAACTAAAAGTTTGTACCAGCTTGCTGCACTAAGCCTTTGCTTACCACGCCAAGACAGATCCTGTGCTGATTTTGGTACCAGTAGGAAAAGGCTGTTATCTCTGAGTCATCTAACAAGATCCTAGGAAGGGAGGAGACCTTCTCTAACAAATTTGTCAGTACATCAGAAGCTGATTCATGGTCTCTTTCAGCAGAGCATTTCAATTCTCTCAATGCTGAGTGTATGCTTGAGGCCTGTTTGAACTCACTGATGCTGATCACTTCTTAAAATTTAAAATGGGTTTGCACTGAATATCAGTAGGCACAGATATAATTAAAAAACCTTCTGAGCCTAACAAGCATAGCTGGCTGTGTGTAACTCATTGTCCACATCTGAAGGTAAGGACTCCTGCTTTAATTAAAGAGATTGAGTGAAGACATCTGAATGCTCACATATCATGGCAGTGAGGACAGTGCAGAATGAGGAATTAAGTCATAGCATGAGTCAGAAAAACACATGCAGAGCTGGATGAAAACCAGGGAAAATTAAGACAAATTAGTTGAAATTCTTCATGGAAATGTTATCTGCCAGTTCAAAAATCAAACATTCTGACAAATTTTAGGAAAAGAACTTTCTTCATTCTTAGCATCTCTTATCTTACATCAGAAGTGTCTCCTGTTATCACTTTTTTTTTTTCAATTCTGGCTAAAGAACATTTAATATTATTTTTTTGTATTCTTGTGCCTCAGTATAGAAAATATGCATGGTGCTTAAGGGATAAAAGGAAGCCCAACAAGGGAGGACCACATCTTGCAGTTGTTCCACTTCACTAGCATGTCCCTTGACCCACAGTGATAACTGGGGTTTGCAGGTCTCCCACAGTTGTGAGCTTGGCACAGAAAAATGAGGTTTCACACAATAGTCTGGAAACACACAATGATTGCTGTTGATAAAAACAGCACAGAAAGGGAGGAGCTTGTATTCATCTAAGCAAGACAGCTTTCTATGTAAACTCAGAATTTTGATGAAGACAGAATCAATCAGAAGTAGATCATAAATTGGCACATCCCCAACTATGTTGAATTTGTAAAAAAAGTAAGGTGAATAGTACCCACTCTAATATTTCCATTTCACTTTGGAGCTTCAAAAAGAGGCAGTGTGAGAACAAAAGGGGTGAAACAAGCTCCAGTGAAAGTGGGGAGAGTGTTCCCTTTTGCTCCAGATACTCAGTTTCAGTCACAACTCCACTGAGGCCGGGGTACTTGCTGTTGAAGAAGATGCACCACCAGCCTGGCCATCCTGCCCTCCCTTCATGTGTTTTTCCATCCTTCATTATGTTCTTCTGTCTCTCTCACCTTCAACTTAATCTGATGTCCAAGCAGATGCTGTGCAGCCCTTAGCACAACTGAAGGAGATACTGATTCCAACAGCAGGGAAAGGTCAACCATGAGAAGGATCTGGAATTTTTCAGTGCAGGAAGAATTGAAAGGAACCGATTTTCTATCAAGCTGTGGTGTCCACAGCACTGTGTTCTTCTAATAGACTGTTTAAAAAAATGTATTCAACTAAAAACCCATGAACCATTTAGCACTGATGTCAGAAATCACACGTGGAGCTCATTTGATGTGTTTGTCTGTGAGGTGCATTGTTTTCATTTCTATCTGCCACAGTAAAGCTGCCATGCAAACTGAGATGAAAAGTTCC